TAGTTGATTCCATAGCTAAATTCCACCCTCTCAACAATCCCATCCTCACTTAGTTCCTGAAGTTCAGGAGTAATTTCAGGGATGTAAATGGCCGACCAACTAACTGACCACATCTCAAAGAGTAACACTTCCAATCTCAATCCAGGGCAGACTCAACTGAATGCTATTATGCCCTCTTTCACCTCCCCAGGTAACCAGCCAAACAGCGTAGCAGTCTGAAAGACTGATGACTAGAACTATACTGAAGTACCCATCAAGAGATGCCCACAAGTTACCATCTAATATAAGCAATATATAAAATACTCAGAATCCCACCCCACAGCCTGGGAGACACTCACATTCATGGCCACACCCCGGACACGAGGCCAGCAGTTTCTCTTGGCCTTGTATTTGTGGTAGGCACGACCTGCCTTAAGGATGGGCTTATCAATACGACCTCCTCCAGCAACAACACCTACGAAACAAATGGTTAGGATCCAGTGAGGTGATGCATAAAGGCTCTGCATTCCCTGGTCTGATTCTAACTTCCAGATTCCATCAGACTGCACTTTACAGTCCTTGTCTCTAAGTGACCTTCCAATAGAAAATAAACATGTTTGAGACCATGATTGTTTTCTTATATTTTAGTTGGTTTAGGATGCCTCTTTCCCCTTGCACTTCCCTGCCTCCCCACTATGAATCCTAAAATAATACCCCTAGAGTCAGGGATAATTTCTCCATTCCAGAAATCCTGTAATTAGCCTGACCTTTTTGACTAATTTGCAACTCCTATTCCTCCAGAAACCCTTAGGCTCTTGACTAATAACAGAATCAGAACAAAATCAATACTGATCCCTTGGGACTCCAGGAGTCATTTGGTTCAGTAGCCTAATTTCAGGACCCTTGCAAAACTGTATACCAAGGCCATGTATATTTGAATTTGTTATAGTTTCCAGCAGAGGCTTTACTTCATCAGGAAAATGAGTTCCAGTCTTTGGTATTTCACACCTGAACCTCAACTTTCTAAGCTGTAGATTAGGGTTACTAATCCTGCTATAAACATAGACAACCTCTTATTTCCTACTGAGAAGTACACAAACCTGTTTGCAAACCACCAATAGCTTTGTGCATACACGACATTAAGCTCTGAGACCTGTGGAGCACTGGCTCAAACATTCGGAAGCATTCTGAAGGATTTTCTTTTACCCCAAAACAAATTCTAAAGGAAAAAAAAAATTCTCTAATACCACGAGCTTGCTCACTTTTATGAAAGCACCAATTAACCACTAGCTTTGAAACAAAGGCTAAAATAAAGCCCCTAAAGCATTTGTTCAATAGATTGCCTACCAATGAATTTTAAGTGTTATGTTCACTTATAAACTTGTTCAAAACAAGTAATGAGGTTAAAAAAAAATTTAAGATGCCAGGATAGGTGGGCAAATGGAGTTGTTAACACTTGGCAAACCTTTGAGGTACTATATAAATGTGACTCTTGCCTAAACACTTATGGTTGTGTGATCCCGCGAAGTTAAAGAAGCTCTTTTGGCCCAGTTCCTTTCTGTAAAATGGAAATAACAGCACCTACCTCAAAAGGTTTCAGGAACCAAATGAGATAACATATGTAATGTATTTTGCAAACTTTATAGCTTAAAGCAGATGAAACAGCTGGCTAGTTTCAAATACTTATAACACTGATTGAAGAGAGAGGCTTGTTAGCTGTAAGGTCCAAGTTCATTTAGAGAGACCACGTAGAAACTGAAGAAATGCAGGTTGAGTCCTCACCATTTTATGAAGACACCCGATTTTACAATTTTGGGTTTCTTTACATCTGGCTCCATGGCAAATCAATTAGGTACCTTTGCCCCAAGTCACTTACCAACCACAGCTCTGTTTGCAGAGGAGATCACTTTCTTAGAACCTGAAGGTAGCTTCACCCGTGTTTTCTTGGTTTCAGGATTGTGGGAAATCACTGTGGCATAGTTTCCAGAAGCACGGGCAAGCTTGCCCCGATCCCCAGGCTTTTCTTCAAGACAGCACACTATGGTCCCTTCAGGCATAGTGCCAACTGGGAGGACATTGCCAATGTTGAGCTGAGCTAAAGACAAAGGCAAACTGAAAGTTCAATTCAATAACGCACTCACGTGGCAAGGCATTGTGTTTCGGATTGGGGAAAGACAACAACATGACAGACTGTTTTTACTCGAGGACCTTACAGTCTAATGGGAGAAAGATATACACAAACTCTTATGATAAATCACACCAGGGAGCCAAGGAATACTTCCCTAGAGAAGACCATCAGCAAAAAGACTATCCAATTCTCCTAATTCAGAACACTTGGGAGCCTGAAAGATCTAACCTGAGACTAGCAGTTTGATAAGATTAAGAGTAGGGCCTTCTCAAGGAAAGCTTGCTAAGGGCAGTTCAGGATTAAAGCATGGCTTGAAATACCTTGTTAAGGAATTCTACATTAACATAGGAAATCTGTACAACCAGGTAACCATAGCTCAGCTTCTTTTCAGTCAACAAGTATTAAGGAAGGACCTTTGCTGTCTCAGTAGGTAGTGAGCACCCCATCATTGGGGTGTTTAAACAATTCAAGATAACCATCAGTAAGGAATACTGTGGATACAACATATACTCCAACCAGTAGATGCACTGGACTATACAAGATTATTGTCACCACATCAATTGCCTTGTTAAATGGAAAAATGACTTAACCCTGTGAATCACATCCTAGTGAGATGACTGTGAGGCTCAAATGAACATATGTAAAGCAACATATGAATGCCAGCTATTCTTTAAAAAAAAATAGAACTGCCAACTTACCTTTCTTACCACAGTACACAAACTGGCCAGTATGGATGCCTTCAGCAGCAATGAACAACTCTGTCCTCTTTTTAAATCGGTAAGGATCCCGGAAAGCTACTTTTGCAAGAGGAGCTCCTCTGCCTGGATCATGGATTATGTCCTGAAGGAACATTAAGAATTTACTAAATACTGCCAAATGAAATTATATGTTAGCAATTAGGCCTTACTTTGGCACTATTTCTGGGTTAGGAAAGTTAGTTAGATTAGGACCTTTAAGTGCTGGGGATGTAGAGAATGGCAAAACCAGTCACTGCCAACAAGAAGGACATATTCGGTATATTCTACAGAGAAAGATAACACATGCAGAGATAGAAGATGGCATGTATGAGTTAAAGCAGATAAGACTTTATTTAGATCCAAAGGTGTAATAAGTGGAGAAAAATTACTGGAAATGAATTGAAATTTCTTCTTGGAATTCCTGGCCCCTTCCTACTTTTCCAATCCTAACACTTCTTTCCTCTCAATCTTTGATACAGAAGCTGTCAGTAGAATGTAACACTCCAAATGTTCTCCATTGGCACGCCATGGCTTTTACTGGCTGTCCTTTGCCTGGAATGCTCTTCCTCAAGACCTGGCTTTCTTCAGACTCAATTTCACCTTCTCTAAGAGGCTTTTCACAGCCCGCCCCAATCCCCAACTGCTAGCGCATTACTTTAAATTACCTTCCAATTAACCTATATAATTGTTTGCACATTGACTTCCCCATCAGAATTTTAGCTTGAGAGCAGGGACTGTTTTTGTTTTCAATACTTGGCATACAATGCACGCTTAATAAGAACGTGTTGAAAGAACGACTGATTTTCTAAAGTAACATCACTATCCCCCTGATGTTGAAGAGAAATTGGACATGGGAATGGAGAGCCGGACTGTTGCCCTTCTTTGGACCAGTCTTTGGACTGGGTGGGACCTGAGGACTCCCAAGTAGTATCCAAATCTCCACCCTTCAAACTACACGGATGCCCCTGTCTCAGCCTCACCTTTACGATACCCTTAATGTAGCCATGCCTCTCAGCGAAGTCGACAGCCCGGAGCTTGGCGGCCCCTTTCCTGTGCTTCACGTGAGCGCGGAAGACGGAGCCCGCACCCTTTCTCTGACCACGGATCACTCGGCCCATCTCGCGCGGTCTGGGAAGGGAGGGAGAAAGGGCAGTGAGGACACGGAGCCCGAGCGCCGCCTCCCCCGGGCGCCCAGGGCCAGGCTGCCTCGTCCGGCGGCCTCGGCTACTCCGCGGAGGGACGCCGCCATGTCAGTCTGTCGGAGGGAGGGGTGAGGGGCGCCGGGTTTGGCTCAGCGCCGGAACCTCCTTGGGCCCAGAGAAGCGGCACCCCAAGGAAGGTTAGAAACAGGGAGTCCCCACAATTGGGGGGCCGCTGCTCAAGGGCGGATGGCGCTCTGAAGGCCCCGATTGGGCACGGATGGCTGAAGGCCACAGAGCTCCAAAGGAGTAGGTCTTACCTGGCTCCGGACTTGCTACAAAGAGGAAGTCGACCTCCCAACAGCGCTATATCTTCCGGGGCGAGGTAACCCACCGGAAGAAAGGCTCAGGGGCCGACTCACAGGATGTAGGTGTGAGGTGTTGCATTATGGGATACGTAGTCCTTTCGTACAGCTCAGTGTCCCTTCACAGTGCATTTTAGGAAATGTAGTCCATTAGGCCCCGGCTCTCATGTCTTCGCCTCCGGGCATTCTGGAGCTCCGCTATAGCTCTCTCATTCAGGAATCGGGCACCCTCCCTCCCACTCCACTACCAACCCTCAACCACGGCGCGTGCGCACACTTTCCTGCCCGTAGTGGGGCTACTTGTCCCAGCTCTAGAACGTTGCTAGGACCTTTGCCGCCTCTCCTGGCAGGTCTGTCGTGGTCGTGGGTTTTTGTCCCGAAGGGGTCTGTTAGAGCCCGGGGCGGTGTCGGGAGGGAAGCGTATACGGAGCTGGGTTCCATCCAGCTGCCTCAGAGGTGGACAGAACCCCATTGTGGCCGCCCGTTTCAGTCCTAAAACCATTGCCCCATTGGGGAACCAGGACCAACGAGATGCCTGCCGGGTCCTCTGCTCCGCCCAGAGCAGCCCTCTGCTCCGATTGGGCGGTTCCCCGGGGGCGGGAGGACGGGGCGGTGCTTCAGGTCTGGGTGCTGTACTCCTCTGGGGCAGGGGCAAGGCCAGTGCTTGTGCAGTGACTGGTCCTGGGTCCCGTTCTTTCCATCCCCTGCCCTCCGCGCGACCCCTGAGCGGAGGGTGAGTCCAGAAGAGCCGGTGGGCGGGGTTGTCAATGCCCCTCTCCTCCCTCCTCCAGCCGCACCCCCTGGGCTCTGGGAGGGGCGTGGTAGCCTGGGCTAGGCTGCTGGGGGCCCACGGGCTGGATCTGTGCGGGACCAGAGCGGGACATTGCGTTCTGGTGGAGACAGTGCTTGTTTAGAGTTTGTGGTCCAGGCAATCCAGGGGCGTGCTATACAAGGATGAGATGAAGGGACTTCGACAGTTAACCTGAGGAAGAGGGATGTTAGGATTATGCCTAAACATAATGTAGTATCTATTCCAGTCCTCTCTCGTCACCATGGATGCCTTCTTTTGGACATGCCCCCAGAGTGTCTATGTCTTTCTTAAAATGTGTGACTAAAACTGAACACATTAACCCCGATGTGGCCGGATCTGGACATTCTGGCTCGCTTAATTGATCATAGGTAGCATAAATTTTGGGGGCTTCGGTGCCATACTGACTCATGATTGCAGTCTGCTGAAACCACTAGACTTTTTCATAGGAACTCTTGGATGAATCACTTCCCCCTGCTGTAATCCTAAACTTCAGATGTTGATTTAAAAACAAAAAACCAAAAAACTTTAGTGTAGAATGTTTCGTTAGACCCTATGAAATGTCATCTTGTCAGCCCATTTTTCTGGCTTGTTGATTTATTTGGGTCTGGATTCTATATTAACATCTTAATTATCCTTCCAAGTTTTCAGTCATCCTCCAACTTGTTAATTGTGTCAACTTGCGTATACCCGCCGTCCAAGTCATTGATAGAAATGTTAAAATCGAAATATTTAAAAAAAATAAAACACAGGACCAAGGACACATCCCAGAGGCACTAGAGACTTCCTTCCAGGTTGACATTGAGCCTTTAGTAACTCGCTCAACTCATTCCAAATCCTCCTTACTGTACTATCATTTATCTTGTATCTCTCCAACTAGTCCACTCAGATAGCATGAGAGACATGGTATTCTAAACAAAGCATTTGACAATGTCTTTAGCATTCTCCTCACTTACTAGTCTAGTTACCTTGCTGGAAGAGGAAATGAGATTTATCTGGGATGAACTGTTAATGAAGCCAAATTGGCTTTTAGTGATTGTGGCTTCTCTTACTAAATGTTCACAAAACATCCCTTTAATATTGTGTTCTACATTTTTCCAGGAATAGAAGCCAGGTTCACTGGTCTATAGTGTGTAAGTGTTATTATCATTTCTTTTTCAAAAATTCAGACAGCATTTGCCTTTCTTCAGTTCTGTAGTAAGTTTTCCATTCTACATGATCTTTCAGAGGTCACTGACCATGGCCCAGCACAACCATCTTCTAATCCTTTTAGTACTTTGGATATACTTCATCTTGGCTTGGTGACTGGAACTCATTGAAAGCAGTTTTTTGCTGTTTGGCTGTCTCCTCATCTATATTAGATTTCAACTCTTTGCTAACCATTTTCTATCTAGACCAGATGTTCCTAACCATTTTTGTGTCATGAACCCCTTTGGGAGTCTGGTGATGCCTATAGACTGCTTAGAATAATGTTTCATAATTTAAGGAAATGCTAAATTTAGTTAGAGGTTAATAAAAATAAATATGTAATTTTTCCCATCTAAGTTTACGAATCTTTCCTCTTCCCCCCCAAAAAAAATCTATCTACAAATCCATAGTCCCCAAGTTAAGAACTATGATCTAAGCCAAAGATTATTTTTCTTGCAGAGAAATCAAAAGCAAAATGAGAGTTGACAGCTCATTCTTCTCACCATTATTCATTATTTTCATTCCATCATTCCAGCAGTGGCTCTGTTCCTTCTTTGATCCTGTTTTTTCCCCCTGAATATAAAAAAAAACAACACCCAAACCCACATTCAGTTTAATTTCACAGACATTTATTGTGCCCCTACTATATGCTAGGCGCTGAGGATACAGAAACACAAATGAAATAGGCCTAAACTCAAAGAACTTATATTCCACTGAGGGGATATGATAGGTATATTTGAAGGCTTCATCAAGAAACAGTTATTTCAAAATAAGTTTTTTCCTTCTTTGACAGGACTATTAGATGAGTGACTCAAAGGTAGCTAGGTAGTGTAATGGATAGTGCACTAGGCTTAGAGTCAGGAAAACTTGAATTCAAATCCTACCTCAGATCCTTATTGGTTGTATAACCTTGGGCAAATCTCTTAACCTTGTTCAGGCTCAGTATCCCCATCCTTATGTTGCAGATATGATTTATCTAGATTTTAAATGAACCATTTCATTAAATCCTTTAAGCTATTCTTGTGTCAAAGATAATGGGGTATAGGCTAAGTGATAATGCAATTAGATGGGTTCAGAATTAGTTAAATGACTGCCCATGGAGACATGAATGTCAAGTTGGAAGGAGGTCTCCAGTGAAGTCTCAGGGCTGCTTGGACCTTTGTTATTTAATATATTTGTCAGGGACTTGGATAAAGGCACAGATAGCATACTTGCAAAATTTACAGTGACAGAAAGCCAGGTGGAATAGAAAACATATTGGATGGTAGTCAGAATCCCAAAAGATAGTGACAGACCTGAACATTAGGTCAAATCTAACAAGATGAAATTTAATAGGGATGATAAACAAAGTCTTATGCTTGGGTTTTAAAAAAAAAATTCCATTAAAGATAATGAAATTATGGTTGTGGAGCAATTTGTCTGAAAAAGATCTGGGGGTTTTAGTGGACCATAAGTTCAGTGTGAGTGACAGTCATATGCACTCAAATTTAGTAGAAACTCAGCAATATAATATTTTATAATCAAAAAGCCTCATCTACTTAATTTTGGAGCTAAAGAATGCTGTAGAACATCAAAAACACCCATAAGGTAAATTCTTCAAAATTTTCACCTATGTTTATTAAAGCACTTTTTTTAAGATTTTATTTTTAAAGGTACAGGATAATTTTAGGGAAAATATTAGACATACTTTGCTTTGTGTTTATTTTCTAAAAGATCTTTTTGTGTAGCTTCTGTAGTTCTTAAGTATTCCAATTAAGCTCAATAGAAATGTTAATTTGTTTTATAAGGCAGCAGATATGATCAGCTCTGGTGCATGTGTATAACCTATTTACCAATACTTATACTTGTATTTCTCAATACATGCAGTCAAACTTTATTAATTAAAGCATGCAAACAATGCCCTCCTCTAAAGATGAACCACCATCCTGTGTCTTAGAGGTTTTTATATCAGACTTATGATAAGTTTCCTTCTCACCCAGACAGAGGCTATGTGTCACCCTTTGAGGTGGTCATTCAGCAAGTCTGGGTCAGTTAGCACTGCCCTCAATCCAACACAGGTTGTTGAAGTCTCAAGTTGGGGGAATGTAGGAGCCAGCACTAGGAACAGACAAATGAGTGGGGCTTGGAGGTGGGATGGGGGGAGGGGTGTACTTTTAGTCATAGGTGTTGCTAAATTATTTGTTACATTATTTGATTTGGTAGTTTACATCAAAATTATTGATAGAGTTGTTTATGCTGTTTTTACATTGGTGGTACTTCATATCAGAGACTCCATGTATTTATTAGTTGTTTAAGAATACACATATGTTGTTTACTATATCATACCACACAGGTGCTTATCTTATTATCGAAAAACAACTTACCCAGAACAGCTCCATCACAAAATAGAGGCTTGAAACAAGATGGAATCAGTTATGCTAAGTGGACACATTTATTCCTATCATCTTATTAAGGTGCTAAAACTTATTCTCACCACTCCTTTCAGATGAGAGTTTTCATGTTGGAGCAGATTTCTCTAGGTATTAGAATTGTTTTATGGTAATTGCCCTTAAGATTTTTTAAAATTCCTCTACCTATAGTGAGGGTATATATGTTTTGATTACATCTTTCATCAAATACTAATTTTCTTTTCTCAGAACAAATTTGTGCTTTTTAATAAGAGGTCTCAGAATGTCCTCTAAATTAAAGTGGATTTAGCCAAGAAGAGGCTTAAAATAGGTTTGTTTGTTTTTCTAGTTCATTCTTATGCTTTTCTTTCGGTCCTTGGTGGCTGGTTTCCAGCATTCAGCCCTTGAGATTTGTAGTAGCAGATGGCATTACATTAATTTCATTGGGGAGGGGGATGAGTTAAATCACCAAAATTACTTCTTTTAAATGAATTATTCTAAAGGTTTCTAAAAATGATAGTGGTGGAGGTGGGTGGAGAATGTTAGCTCTTTGAGGGTAGGAATTATTTCATTTTTGTCTATCACAGTGCTTGACACTCAATAGGCATTTAATGTTTGTTGATTTATCAACTATAGATATATCATTACAATTTTTCTACTAAACCTATCCCTCTTCCAAATTTCCCTGTTTCTGTTGAGGACCTCACCATGTTCTCAGTCACCCAGATTCACAACCTCAGAGCCATCCTTGACTTTTTCTTTTATAACTTCCATCAGTTGCCAAGTCCTATCTATTCACCCTTCCTGACATCTCTTGCAGTTTTCCCTCACAGCTACCACCCTAGTTAAGGCTCTTATTATCACTCACCTGCATTATTGTAATAGACCATAGTTGGTTTCTTCATTTCAACCCTCTCCCCTCTTCTATAGAGCTGCTAAAATATCTTTCTAAGGCACAACTCTGACCATGTCACCTCCCTGCCACCCTCCCCTTCAAAGCCTACTAGAAAACTTACTGTTGCTTCTAGGATAAAACACAAATTACTCAGCCTGGTAGAATCTGGTCCTAACCTACCTTTCCAGTCATGTTTCACATTATTTACCTTCATGCACACTGAATAGTAAGTTCCCAGAATTCAAGCTATTTCCCAACAGGGCAAGCATTCCTTCCTCATCTCAGCCTTTAAGAATCTTTTTCATTCTTCAACAGTAAGCTCAGGCTTCATCTCCTCTGTGAAGCCTTTTCTGGTTCTCCCTGAGGTGTTAATGCTTTCTTTCTCTTCAGATCCCCTTGTATTTACACACACACACACACACACACACACACACACACACACACACACGCCATATTTCCTAGAACCAGTGGTGTGTTGGTGCCAGCTAATTTTTAAATGTGAGCATTTACACCTTGGAAATTAGCAAATGCTAGAAATCAAGGCTTGATTTATTGTTTTGTGGCTTGTTCAGACTTAAGAAAGTGATGTAGAAAATGTAAACTTAAAGTCTTATGTACTTTTTTTTTTTTGCGGAGTCGGTTGTTAAACATTTTATTAAGCATATCCCTGCCTGTAACTGCATTGATTTTTGTCTAGAGACAGCATGGTTATAGAGTGGATGGAATGTTAGATTTGTAGTCAGAAAGAACTGGGTTCAAATCTTGCTTCTGTTCCTTATTACTTGTGGGACTCTGAGCAGATCAGTTTCCCTCTCTATGCCCAGTTTCTTCATCTGCAAAATGGGACTGATATTAGCTGTGGTACATGCTCCATAGGGTTATTGTGAGGCTTGAAGGAAGTATTCCATGTAAAGTGCTTTGCAAACTTCAAAACAATCAATCAACAAGCATTTATTAAGTCTTACTATGTGCCATGCACAGCTACATGCTAAGGATACAAAGAAAGGCAAAAATGGACCTTATCGTCAAGGGGCATTGGCATAAATGTAAATAAAGTAGGGGGGGCTGCTTGTAAACAAGTAGTTGTTTACAAGATACATATAGAGTAGAAAAAAGGTTACTTTAAAGGGGGAAGGTTCAAGCAGCCCAAGACCAGGATGGTTTCCTGAAGAAAGTGGCATTTGAGTTGAGTCATGAAAGAAACCAGGATGTTGAGGCAGAAGTGAGAAGGAAGCACTTGTTAAGCAATGGAGAACAGCCAGTGCAAAAAACACAGAGATGGGAGATGGAGCACTGCCTCTATATCAGTTATTATCTTCCTTTGTTTCAACAATATTTAAAACAGTACCTTGCATGTAGTAGGTCCTTAATATATGTTTGTGGTGCAAGAACAGGATGGTAATTTGGGGCTTCCTGGAGGTGGTGAGGCTTAGATACAGCCTCATGGTACCTTGTGCAGTTGACAGCACATATCTGTGTCCTTATGGACACACTTAATATTTGAAGTGCCTTGACCATGGTGGGGGTCCAGGGGAAAGCTAGGGAATGCTAAGCTAGTAAGGGAGCCAGAGGGCAACACTCATTTCCCTCCCATTTCTTTTTATTTCCCTAGATCTACCTTCCTTCTAGGTTTCTGCTTAATCCTCATAAGGATAGCCTGGGAGAGCAAGGGATGACCACCAAGCTCTTGCAGACTGGACCTCAGGTGAGTTGTATAGAATTTCTGAGACCCCCATTGCTATAGTTTTTCATGACCTTTGTCCTTTCTCTTTGCCTAGACCTCTCTGCCCAGGAAATCCCCTTCCTCCCAAAGAGGCCTGAATCCCAATTCCCTTCCCTGAGGGCAAAGGCTTCTACATACATGTATTCCTAATATGGAGAAGGCTCTTCTCCATTACTTCTACCCACTCTTTGCAATGATTTTATGATTTGCAGACTCCTCCTCCCCTACCTCAAGAACTATGTCTGAGATTGCAATAGGACTGTTGTTTTCAGGCATTGGTGACTTTCGAGGATGTGGCTGTGTACCTCACCCAAGAGGAGTGGGGCCATCTGGGGCCTGCACAGAGGGGCCTCTACAGGGATGTGATGCTGGAGAATTATGGCAATGTGGTCTCACTGGGTAAGACCTCTCCCCAGGTCTCAGATCTGAGACTCTTGGCTTTATCCTTTGTGAATAATTGTGGGGTTTGAAGGGTTCCAATGAACTACTTTTAGAGTCAGAGCTTAGTTTTCTCGTTTGGAAAAAATGATGACAATAATGGCAGCTACTTCATAAGGTTGCTGGGATCAATGGAAAAGAATCAAATTCTATTCATAATGGATCCTGCTTCAGCAAGTGTTTATGTACCTGCTGTATGTAGAGCTCTGTGCTTGGCTCTGGAGGACATACAGTTTAGATAAGACATAATCTCTGTCCTCCTGGAACTCACAGTCTAGTAAAGGAGTATTACTCACATAAATTAAGGTAATACTCAATAAGCAAACTTAGCATTTTATAGATCAACTGCTCTTTGAGGTGGAGTTTCCTTAGTAAATAATACTGAATCTGGGCTCCCAGATTCTCAGGTATTTGGGAACAGAGGAACAGAAGGTAGAATGTAAGCTTGAGGTCAGGGATTGTTTCTTTTTTTGGGCTTTATGTCACCAGTCCCTGGTATATTACCTGTACATAATTAATTAATTAATTAACTTATGCTTGTTGAGTTGAATTACAATGAGATCATATAAATACTTTGCAAATGCAAACTTAAAGCATATGTAAATGTCAGCAGCGCTGCTGTTACTACTACTACTACTACTACTACTACTACTACTACTACTACTACCACTATTCCTAATCTGCCTGAGTTTGGTGATAGAACATCTCTGCTTTTTTATTCCCAGGAAACAGGTATGTCCATGCAAAAGTGAAAATAGGCAGCTTACTGGAGCTCTTATTGAATCTACATTTTTATTTTCCTATGAAGAGTGTACGTAACAATGGCCCAGCTTTGGTAACCCAGGTTCTAGATTTTTTCTTAGTTGTAGGTTTCCAGACCGTTCAAGGAGAATACATTTCTATGCCCATATCATCAACCCTTTTGAATCCCTATCTCTCCTCTATAAAACTCTTTCAGAGAATACATAGTTCTTCCAGTCATGGCTTCCATGGATACTGTTCACCAGTCTGTCCATGCCCTATAGATTCAGTGGCTTGTACAGAGTTCAGGGCAATTCTTTGTACACAGAACTAATCCAACTTTCTTCTTCATGAATAGGATTTCCAGTCTCCAAACCTGATGTGATCTTACAGCTAGAACAAAGAGGAGAACCATGGTTCCTGGACATGCAGGGAGCTGAAGATAGAGAGATCTTAAGAGGTACGTAAGTTTCACTGTCATTAAACATAGGATTATTTCCTATGTACTTCATTAAAAGGGACTCTAGAATTCCCTTTTGAGCAATTCAGTAAACATTTATTAAGTGCCTATTATGTGCCAGGCACTGTTCTAAGTGTTGGGGATATAAAAAGAGGCAAAATACAGTCTCTGCCCTCAAGGAGCTTACAATCTAATGGGGCAAGTGGGAGACACAACATGCAAACAAATATATCCTAAGCAAGCTATGTACAAGAAGTAAGAAATAATTAACAATGGGAAAGCACTGGAATTAAGAGGGTTTGAGGAAGGCTTCCTGTAGGAGATGGGATTTTAATGAAACTATAAGGAAGCCAGACAGTTAGTAGATGGAGTGGAGGAGGGAAAGTATTCTAGGCATGGGGTATAGCCAGAGAAAATGCTGGAGCCAAGAGACGGAGTGTCTTGTTTACGGAACAACAGGAGACTGGTGTCATTGGATCAAAGAGTGTGTGTCAGTGTGTAAGGTGTAAAAAGACTGGAAAGGTAGGAGAGGGTTATGTTATGAAGGGCTTTGAATGCCAGATAAAACATTTTGTATCTGTTCCTGGAGATAATAGAGAGCCACTAGAATTTCTTGAGTGGGGGAGGGGAAGAGAGTGTGGCATGATCAAGGAGTTTTTATCTGACTTACTTTTCCCATTGAAGGTTTGTATGTAATAGGAAAATAATCCTTACCTTCTTCTTTCTTTGTAAAATTATCCTCTAATCAGCTTTCATTTGGTTCTCCTCCCTCTAGGTCACAGTGGTTTTTGTAGCACTCCTGTGTTATTTCTGGTAATACAAACACTTTTGTCTCTGTTTTTCATTTTTTTCAACTTTTCTCTTGCCAGAATGTGAATTCGATTTTTTATGGTAACTTTTGCCTAACCCAAATGTTCTTAATCCATTAGAACACTTTTTTAATAGCAAAAAAAATATTGTGGATCCCCTCTCTCCATAATATCAGTTATTAGTTTCATTGATTGAGAAGGTACATAACTGGCAATGGACCACTGGCAATAACTTCAGTTCTCCAGAGTTTCCTGGTCTGTAGGTTGTGAGCCACTCACTGTCTTAGCTGTCCAACACTTAATTCTTCTTGCATTAGCTTTTTTCTGGTCTTCATGCCTGGTTTAATTTTTACCTTATTTGTGGTTTCAAGATTTTAGTTGTTCCGAAAAATAGTAATAATAGTGGTGATAATAGCAATATCTTGAATTTATATAATTATTTAAGGTTTACAAAGTGCTGTCTTGGCAACAACCCTGTTAGGTTTAGTATTAACTTCATTTCACAGATGAGGAAACTGAGGCTCAGATAGGTGAAGTGATTTGTCCAGGGTCATGTAGCTAGCAAATATTCAAGCCAGTATATTAATTCAGTTCCTGACATTCAGTCCAGCACTTTCCAGTGCACCTGGTAGCCTCTTCAAGCTAATGCTTTTGTTATCCAGAAACCATACATGCTTATCCCAGTCTGATGATATGTTTTGCCAAATTATGGCTACTCTCACAGGCCCAGTTTTTCCATGTATCTAATTTGGTTTAATATTTACTGTTCATTATCATTTATTTGGACATATGGTCTTTAACTGCTTTTTTCTCCCTTGTTATGTAGTATTGAATTTCTACTCACACTTATTAACATTTTTACTTTATTATTGAATACTGTTGGCAAGGTATGTGAAAGCTCAGAAAAAAAAACTGGAAAAATTGGGGGAGATAAAAACCTTTGAGATTATTTCAAGACACTTTTGTCTTAAAATCTTTTTTTTCACATGCCTCACCTCCATGGCAATTTCAAGAAAAGTGGAAAAAAAGTTTTCTTTTCCACACTTTTCTGGTCTTCCACATCTTGGGTTCTTATTGGCTAATTGGTGTCCAATTCAGCTATATTTTTTAAGCTTCTATTTTTATATTCATTCCTTATTTTCTTCTCTAGTCCACTTAATTTACTCCATATTACTCAAAAGGGGGGGGAGTTCATATCATTACAGACCTAATCCTATTCAGTACTCATCCTTCTCTATTACATATAGCCTTTTAGTATTTCATTTTAAAAGTATTTTTATGGAGTATCCAGTAGTTAGCATATGCTAGGATATCTAAAGAAGGCTTAAACGGTAATGATGATTTTCTTTATAGACTTCCTTCACATTTTTAACATCTTTTTTTTTTTAATGAGGCAATTGGGGTTAAGTGACTTGCCCAGGGTCACACAGCCAGTAAGTTTCAAGTATCTGAGGCCGGATCTGAACTTAGGTCCTCCTGACTCCAAGGCCTGAGCTTTATCTACTGTACCACCTCGCTGGCCCTTCCTTCACATTTTTTAAACCTACTTATGATACCTGAGAACTCATTTTCCCTATCTTCAGCCAACCTCTTTTTTTTCCCTCTATCCAACTATAATATTCCTTTTTATCCCTTCCTCCTCAATTGACTTATTATTCTTCAATTACTTTCCCTCCCCTTCTTCTCTGTGGAATCTCGTCTTATTCTCTCATTGTGGCTCTTCATCAGTAACTACCACCCTCTTCCATTTTTTTCTTCCCACTGCTATCCTTTCTCCCAGTTGTGATGCTGATATTGAGATCTGAAAATGTCATAGTTTTCTAAGGGATGATTCTTTTGAGTTGTTTTGTTTCTGCCCCACCTGTTTTCCATTTCCCTAATAAAAGGTGGCATTTGCTCCCCCCTCCCCTTTATTATTTCAGATTGTGAGACTAGGACTAAGATCAAGAAGTTCTCACCAGAACAGGAAATTCCAGAAGGAATGGAATTCCAGCATATGATACTGAAAAGACTCATAAGGAATAGTCTCCAGAAACCGAAGCTGAGAAAACCTTGGGAATCTGAGGGAAAATTAAAGATACACTGGGGAAGACATTCAGAGGGGAAATTGAAGAAACATCTTTACCATGAAAGAGATTTTAGCCCAGTGAAAATGATACACAAGAAAATCCTCACAGGGCAGAGTAGCAAGGAATGTAATAAACTTGGGAGAAGTTTCAGTCTGAACTCAAATCCTGTCACACATCAGAGAATTCATATAAGAGAGAACCCCTGCAAATCTAATGTATATGAGAAAGCAAAGTTTAAGAACAATTCAGTCCTTATTGAAAATCAGAAAATTTGTTCGGGAGAGAAGCCCTATGAGTGCAATGAATGTGGGAAAAGCTTCAGTACACATTCATCTTTTACTCAACATTATAAAATCCATACTGGGGAGAAACTCTATGAATGTAACGAATGTGGGAAATGCTTCAGTCAGAGCTCTCACATTATTGATCACCAGAGAATTCACACTGGAGAGAAACCCTATGAATGTAATGAATGTGGGAAAACCTTCAGTCAGAGCTCTAACCTTATTCATCATCAAATAATTCACACTGGAGAAAAACCTTATACTTGTAATGAATGTGGGAAAGCTTTCAGTTACCACTCAGTGCTTATTCAACATCATAAAATTCATACTGGAGAAAAACCATATGTATGTAATGACTGTGGAAAAGCTTTTATCCAGAGCTCTAATCTGATTCAACATCAGAGAAGTCATACTGGAGAGAGACCTTTTGAATGTAATCAATGTGAGAAAGCCTTCAGTGTGCGCTCATCTTTTATTCAACATTGCAAAATTCACACTGGAGAAAAACCCTATGAATGTAATGAATGTGGGAAAGCCTTCAGTGCACGCTCATCTTTTATTCAACATAGAAAAATTCACACTGGAGAAAAACCCTATCAGTGTAATGAATGTGGGAAAGCCTTTAGTGCCCGTTCATCCTTTATACAACACTGTAAAATTCACACTGGAGAGAAACCCTATGAGTGTAATGAATGTGGGAAAGCCTTTGGTGCCCGTTCATCCTATATTCAACATTGTAAAATTCACACTGGTGAGAAACCCTATGAATGTAGTGAATGTGGGAAAATGTTTAGTGCCCGCTCATCCTTCAATCGACATAAGAGAACACATATTGAAGAGAAGTCCTATGAACAAAATGAACGTAAGAAACCCTATGAGTGTAGTGAATGTGGGAAAACCTTTAGCTCACGATCATCTTTTATTCAACATTGTAAAATACATACTGGAGAGAAACCCTTTGAGTGCAACGAATGTGGGAAAACTTTCAGTCAGAGTTCTAACCTTATTGATCATCAGAGAATTCACACTGGAGAGAAGCCCTATGAATGTAATGAATGTGGCAAAGCCTTCAGTCAGCGATCTAGCCTTATTCGACATCATAAAATACACACTGGAGAGAAACATTATGAGTGCAGTGAATGTGGAAAAGCCTTCATTCAGAGCTCCAATCTTACTAAACACCAGAGAATTCATACTGGAGAGAAACCCTATGAGTGTAATGACTGTGGCAAAGCTTTTAGTGACCGTTCATCTTTTATTCAGCACCGAAAAATTCATACAGGAGAAAAACCCTTTGAATGTAATGTGTGTAGTAAGTCCTTTATCCTGAGCTCTAATCTTATTAAACATCAGAGAATTCACACAGGAGAGAAACCTTATGAATGTAATGAATGTGGGAAAACCTTCCGTGCACGCTCAACTCTTATTCAGCATCAGAGAATTCATACTGGAGAGAAACCCTTTGGTTGTAATGACTGTGGGAAAGCCTTCAGTCAACACTCTAACCTTATTCAACATCAGCGGAGTCATACTGGAGATAAACCATGTGACAAAGCTGTCACTTAATGACTTTTGTTCTGAATATTCAACTCTTAAAGAAGTTTGTTCACTCTCAAAAATTTTTCTACAAATTTGGTATATTGCCATTCTCTGACCATAGAGGGACCCTATCTGTGGCCTGAATTCCAAAGTGTGTGTGCCTTTCCTGATATTCAAAGGTGGCTTTCTGCTACAGCCATCACAGATTTAACTACTAAAAAGTATTAAATACAGAAAAGTAATATTTAAACTGTTAAACTTAAGCAAACACTATAAAGGTGCTATTTTAAAGCAAACTTTAAGATAACATGTATCTATTTATTTTCTGAGTGTTAGTCCTAGTCCTTTTTCTCTTTTATCCCTGTGTTACCAAACAAGGGCCCAAAATCTTTACTGGTTTTGTTTTGTTTTGTTTTTGGCGAGGCAATTGGGGTTAAGTGACTTGCCCAGAGTCACACAGCTAATGAGTATTATGTGGTCTGAGGCTGGATTTGAACTCAGGTCCCCCTGACTCTAGGGCTGGTGCTCTATCCACTGTGCCACCTAGCTGCCCCTTACTGTTTTCTGCTTAGGGATATTCTCATCCCTAAATCCTGGGCCCCTCCTATATGCTGTTACTCTCTGACAGCTATATTTCTTCACATATACCATTGGACACACATTCTATACCCCATATTATCTTATTACACCTTGTAGTCCAACAGATAGATGCAAGTACACGACTGAGTACTTCCTTTAACTCTGATTCGAGAGGATCCAGGATTTGGTTTGTTTGCAACAGTTTGTGTGAGTCAAGTTTTCAAACACGTCTTATAGAAACTTGAAATCAGTTATACAAAGCACTACTTGTCTTTATGATATTTAATCTCCTTACTGCCTCTAGCTCAGGTTGAACAAAATTTCGTTAATTCCTACATGGCTTCTAGATGAGGAAGATTTACCATGATATCTTCAATTTGAAACTATGCTGATGTTATTCTAATAATTAGAGTTTTTGCCCCTGAAGACACTTTTTTTTTCTATTCTTGGTCTCAGGTGCCTGCACAGCTACCTCTAGTTTCAGGTTACAACTACACTACTACCTGAGTCATGTCCATCACTGTGAATTGGAATTTCTCTGCCTGTAGCCTTTAAGAAATCCTGTCTTTCCCTCTATCTCCTTTCTCTCTGACCTGGAACCTAAGCCTGTTTGTTTGTCATTGTTCCCTCATTTTAGTCATCAGATTCTTCATGATCCCATGTGGGGTTTTCTTGGCAAAGATACTGGAGTGGTTTGCCTTTTCCTTCTTCAGCTCATTTTATAGATGATGAAACTAAAGGAAACAGGGTTAAGTGACTTGCCCAAGGTAGTAAGCTAGTAAGTGTCTGAGGCCAGATTTGAACTCAGGTCTTCCTGATTCTTGGCCTAGCCCTCTATCCACTGAGTCACTAGGCTGTCCAGCCTAAGCTCTACCTTTTCCTTTAGTGTATTCTGTTCTGCCCTCTCTTAAGTGAGCTATTCCTATGAGGGCCTGATCCATTATAACCTGGTCTGTCATATGAATTCATTTCCTCTCTCTTGAGTAGCCTGCTGTCTGTCTTCTCAATTTTTATGGGCTTCTTTGCTTCACTGTTTCAATGCTCCTACAAAATCTTGTGACCATTAGATGAATATGGGCTCAGAAAGGAGGTGAAGAGGACTGGAAAGGGCAATTGAAAATGACCCCACTGTATTAACTTCTTCAACCTGGAAAATCCTGTTGAAGTTCTGAGGTCTAAATGCTGCCCTGTCTCCAAAACAAGTAGTGGGAAACTTTTAATCAGTATGAGGGAAGGTTAAAGTCAGCACCCTTAGCTTAACAGTCTTCAGGCTGAATCTGAGCCTGATGTGTGTGGTTTAGAGGAAGTTAAGTTGGCCTTTGTTCCAGAGTCTTAACAATTGTGGTAGAGATGCTGGAGTGAAGGTGGCAGAATAGGGTGGGACACTAGTACTGCAGAAGCAATGAGGAAGGGTTGAGATGCTCTGTCTGTTTTCACAGCTGTTGTGAAGTGGCCAACAGCAATGGAGGGAAAGAAGTATTTCTTTCCCAAGACATTCTTCAACTCTTTATCTAACATTCTGGATGGGATGCTCATGGAATAGAGGCCCAAGAGGTGTGGTAGACAGAGCTAGAAAAAAATGAACTCCTGAGCAATGGTTAACAAGGGGTCCCTACCTCTTCAAATTGGAAATAAAGTAAGACTTGGGAAACTCCTAGAAGTTGCTGGATTTAGACAAGTTAGCTTCATTTTCATGGACATTTTCTTTGATTTTCCCTATTTTACTATTAAGTATTACTTGAGGGGTAACACCTATACACATACAGGATTGCTCTAAATATGGTCAAAGGGGGTAAAGTTTAGGAAATCTCCAACATTGACATATATTTAATAATGGCAAAGACTCTACTACCATAGAAAAGCTATGGGCACCTGCTGTATATACTTGGAAACTGTTATATCAAATGTACTTACTGAATTTTAAAATTCTTTGCATAAAACTTGTATGTTGAATAACTTTAAATATTTTGGATTTAAAAAATTTTTCTCTTCTGTATTTTTAAGCCAGTGTCTCATTCTAAATATCTTCATTTTCCTTAGTTTTCTTAATTATTGGTATTCTTAGTTTTATTAATGCCTTTAGTTTTAAGAACAGATTCATTTCTGAATATTCTCTCCCTCTACTACCCATCAAGCCTTCTGGCAGAGATTTTAAAAGAAAGAACCAATGAATTGACTATGTCTGACAGTATATGCAACATTCCTTACCCATAATTCCCCATCTTCCCAGTGAATGGAAGGAAGTGCATTTTCATATCCCTTATATGGGGCCAAGCTTGGTCATCATTTCTAGCACTGTTTTCTTTGATTGTTCTTTCCCTTTATATTGTTGTAGTCATTGTGTATATTGTTTTCCTGTTTTTGCTTACTTTAGTCTGCCTATGTTCATATGTCTTACCATATTTCTCTGAAATCTCCATGTTCATTATTTATTTTGTTGCAGTAATATTCTACCTCATCCGTGAACCATAATTTTTTAAAAACTATTTACCAATCAATGGGCCTCTACTTTGTTTCTAGTTCTTTGATAATGGGCTCCTTTTAGTTTGCTATGGTGTTTTATAGATTTGTGTGGTAAAGCCTCTTTAAAATAATGGATTTGTCCCAAATAGGTTGGTGCTTTTCAAATATGATAATTTTGTACACATATGGGGCAGCTAGGTGGCTCAGTGGATCCAGCATGGGACCTGAAGTCAGGAAGATTAGAGTTCAAATCCGGCCGAAGACACTTACTAGCTTTGTGACCCTGGGCAAGTCACTTACCCCTGTTTATCTTAGTTTCATCATATGTAAAATGAACTGGAGAAGAAAATGGCAAACTACTCCAGTAACTTTGCCAAAAAAACCAAAACAAAACCCAAATGGGGTAATGAAGAGTCAGACACAACTGAGATAATTGAACAATAAAAATTTTGTAGAATTCTTTTTCATTATATTTCTATTCTTTTTTATTTCAAAGATATATTAGAGGGGTATAGCCTATATTTAGATCAATATGCTAAGGAGATGTGCTAATAATTCACTTTGCAACCAAAGAAGTCTCAGTCTTCCTTGTGCTGAGAGGTGGAGCTGCACATGTTATATTTCTAGGAAATCAGCCCTGCCCAGAACTACAGGCTAATTCTAAGTGTGTCACTGTTTTCACCCAGGGAGCCCTTTAAAAATACACCAAGCTAGAGTAAACAGATCTCAAACACTTGAATATACCAATAATGACTTTGCTATCTAAGGATACACATAGAGTTCAGTAAAATTCCTTTAGCACTCAGTCATTTAATTGTAGATTTTTCAGTCTTTTAATTAAGTCTAGTATTTCTGTAGGCACTTACTCCTCCCTCTCGGACAAGGGGCCAAGTTTGACTGGACTGATTTTTTTTTTTATGCCTTCAACTGTTAATTAATACAGAGGGTCCTTTCAGATATAGTACAGCTATTCTTAAATAATCACAAAACCATAATTACAGTGTAGAAAATGTTCCAAAAGAACTAGTAATCATTATCTTTGGTACACCTTAAGTAGGATTCCTACCAGAAGTAAGATTCAAAGCTATTGTCCAGAACAAACATCTTTCTTCTGCCTAGTTGGTTACAAACCTTTTCCTTCCACTGGCTGGAGAAAATGTCCAATGTCATCTATAGGCAGGTGGCAATGTCATGCAGGGAAAAGGGATATACCCAAGTAGTGAACTCAAAAAAAGGCCAGTTGCTTTCTAGTTAGTCTTTTTTTCTCCCCTCTATATTACAAACACTAATGGGAATCCCTCCCCTTGCATCCCCACCCCAGAGTAGTAATTTGTCTAAAAAAGATCTGGGAATTTTAGCTGACTACAAGTTCATTATGTCAGTAATGTAATATGACAGCCAAAAGAGCTAAGGTTATAACTACCAATAAGTGATAGTCCCTCTGTATCCTTCTCTAGTCAGATCTCATCTGTAGTATTGTTTTCAGTTTTAGGTACCACACTGTGGAAAGGATGTTGATAGACTGGAGGGGCCAGAGCAGGGCAGCTGCAATCATGAAGGTCCTTAAGTCCACACTGTATAAAAATTGGCTAAAGAAACTGAAGATGTTGAGCCTGGAGAAGAGAAGACTCATGGAGAACAGGAAAGCTGCCTCTAAAGACTAGAAAGGCTGTCTCTGGTAGCAGTGATTAGACTTGTTCCATTGCCTCAGGGTAGAACTAAGAAAAATGGGTGGAAGTTACAAAAAAAAGTTTTTAGGCTTGTTCTAAAGAAGAGCTTCCTAATACAACTATCCCCAAATGGAGTAAGTTGCCTCTCATATGAGTAGCAGATTCCGCCTCAATATTGAAGCAAAGATTAGACCACTTGTGTGATTCTTTTGTCATGATTTTTTTTTTTTTGCTTTTTGCTAGGCAATTGGGGTTAAGTGACTTGCCCAGGGTCACACAGCTAGTACATGTTGTGTGTTGTGTGTCTAAGACTGGATTTGAACTCAGGTCCTCCTGACTTCAAGGCCAGAGCTCTATTCACTGCGCCACCTAACTGCCCCCATGATTTTTTTTTCAGGTATGCATTGGACTTGATCTTCCAGTTTTGAAATTCTGAGATTCAAGGCAGATAGGGGAGTCCACATTTAAGATACAAAGGGCCAGTGATACAATATAGCTATCTCCTTGGTCAGAAGATTTCAATAAAGTGTTACCTGGTACCCATACCCTCT